CCCCATCGGCTATGCATCGGCGATGCGGCTCGATGCGGAGGTTGTGTCTCTCCACGACGACGTCGCCGATGCGTCGCCGATGCCGGCGATGCAGCGCCGATGCGGCGCGATCCTCCGACCCCATCAACTCGGACCCCTATCTAAGACTCCGCTATTTCGGTCTCCGAGGGGCCGTTTCCGGGCCTCGGGACCGTCCCAAACGGCTTCGTGGTGAAGAACTGATCACGCATGGGCCCTGAGATAGTCTGGGGTCTGGGGACAGAGTCTGAACGGGAACGGATTTTGGGGCCCCCCCCCCCCCCCCCCCCCTTAACCCAACCCAGACCCCCTACGTCATGATTTGCTCAGGACGTCGAACCCCACCTCATCGTTAAAGGCTTAACGACTTCTGCCGTCCTTCGACTCGCGCTGGAGCGGCCGCGAAGTGCTCGAACTTTCCCTGGAGATCTCTGGATTTACCTGGATTCACCCTGATTTATCTAGATTTACCTGGATTTACCTCGATTTATCTGCATTTACCTGGGTTTATCTGGCTCGATTCTCACAAGTCGATTGGCGAAAAGTCGACAAGCCCTAAGGGACCTCAGACCACCTGGCGGTGCCCGGGGCCCGGCGCCCCCTCCGGGCGAGGGCCCGCTCGCGAGTCCCCGCGGCGTTGGCTGCCCCGCGGGTCGCCGGCGATTTCCGCAGGGCGCGGCCGCAGCCCGCGCCGGCCGCGGGTCCCGCAGGGGCGCCCAGCCTCGGGGGCGCCCAAGAGGGGGATGAGGAGTAGGGGTGTGTGTATGACTCTTCGTAACATCAGCTTTCTTCTTCATCAGTAGTAGTAGTAGTAGTAGTAGTAGTAGTAGTAGTAGTAGTAGTAGTAGTAGTAGTAGTAGTAGTAGTAGTAGTAGTAGTAGTAGTAGTAGTAGTAGTAGTAGTAGTAGTAGTAGTAGTAGTAGTAGTAGTAGTAGTAGTAGTAGTAGTAGTAGTAGTAGTAGTAGTAGTAGTAGTAGTAGTAGTAGTAGTAGTAGTGGTAGTGGTAGTAGTAGTAGTGTAGTAGTAGTAGTAGTGTAGTAGGTAGTGGTAGTGGTAGTGGTAGTGGTAGTGGTAGTGGTAGTGGTAGTGGTAGTGGTAGTGGTAGTGGTAGTGGTAGTGGTAGTGGTAGTGGTAGTGGTAGTGGTAGTGGCAGTGGTAGTGGTAGTGGTAGTGGTAGTGGTAATGGTAGCGGTCATGGCCGTGGCCGTGGTGGGCGGAGGATGGGAACAAGGAGGCGGTGGATGGAGGCGGAGTAGTAGTAGGATCTCGAGGAGGAGGAGGAAGAGAAGGAGGAGGAAGAGGAGGAAGAGGAGGAGGAGAAGGAGGAGGAGGAGGAGGAGGAGGACTACGAGGAGGAAGAATTGGAGGAGGAATTGGAAGAGGAGGAGGAGGAGGAGGAGGAGGAGGAGGAGGAGCCTTCCTGGATGTCTCTCTCCGCAAGTGCCCCAGGTCCCGCACGCCCTCGTGGACGTTGGGAAACTCGCGCGGGAGAGCCACGGCGTCTACCTGCTGCATGCCTTGATGGACACCGGCAGGCCCGAGGACGCGTGCCCCCTCCTCTTCGGGATCGGACGACACGGCGGTGATGGGAAAGGTGTTTGTGTGTGTGTGTGTGGATTTTGCGGTCACGCCCCTTCCTTCCTCCTCTGCGCCCGTTCTCTGTTCCCGCCTGCTCCGCGTGCTCCGCGATCGGCGCGCCCCGCCAGATCCGTCTCCCGCGACCGCCGCGACCGCTGGCGCTGCCAGTACAAGCCTGTGCGTGTGCGTGTACGTGTGCGCGTGCGGTGTCTGTGTGTGCGTGTGCGGTGTGCGTGTGTGTGTGTGTGTGTGTGTGAATATGCTGCTTGCAGCTGGTTTTGGCCCCGCCGCCAGGGCGTTCCTCGATGCATGGCCGCCTCAGGCGCCGCGAGGCGCTCTCCAACAACAGCCGCATGCAGCCTAGCCGCTGGCCCCACGTTCTCGCCCGCCCCGATCTTCTCCCCGGGCTGAAGGGATGGGTCTTGTCGTCGACGTCGAAGCCCTTCTCGGGGCGCACGTCACCGGGTTCAGCGCGAACGGGGGTCAGCCAAAACGCCAGGTCTTGCATCCTGCAATCCGGAGTTCGGCGGAGTTTCGCTGAGCCAGGTTTGGGCTCGAGGCTATGCAGGTGGCCCCATAGGTTTGCTGAGCTCGGTCTCTGAAGCCTCACCCAAGAACTGCAGCGCATCATTTCTGAATTTGGCTGAGCGCTCGGTTTGCGCGGAGCCTTGCTCGTGCTCCGAATTCTTCTCCACGAGCTCGTCCGGCCCGCTCTCGCCCCCATCTGCACTCGGCGAGGAGCGCACCGTCGGAACGGCTGCCGCGCCTGGGACAGCCCCCGCGGTGGCGTGGGCCCCTCGCGGCCCGTCCGCCCGACCCCGTGGGGAACGCCTCCTTTCCGCTGCGATTGCCCCGCGGCCGTGCCGCCTCCGTGCGGCCTGGACGGCGCCCGGACCCCCGTTCCGAAGACGGAGGCGTCGCAGGGCTCGAGCCGAGCGGTGTTTTTGGCGACCTCGTGGGCCGTTTTCGTGCCGCCGTCCCGCTTCGCGGCAGAGGCAGAGCGAAGGCACGAACGAGGGAGAGCGACAAGCAGGACGAGCACGAAACACAGAGTTCGGCTCGAGCCCTGCTCGGCCTCGTGCGTCCCAAGGTCGCGTGCGTGCCATCGCTCGGAGCCGAGCGCGAGGCGGCGGCGCGTCCTCGCCCCCCCCCCCCCTCGGGAGCATGAAAACATAACGAAAACGAAAAGCACTGATTGGGTCGAGCCCCGGAGGTTCCCATGTGCTCGGGGGTGGACAGACCCCTGCCCTGACCTTTCGGCCGTTAGCGACGGCCGTTTAGCCCTGACCTCCTGCCCTGGTGACGCGTCGATTAGCGAACTGGCCGTTTTCGGTTCGCGAGAGGGCGTCGCGGCCGTCATGTTTGCTGGTCCAGGTCCGTCGGTGTCGGTCCCAGGCCGTTTTCACTGAGGGGAGGTTTACGACAGGGAGGTTTGTCCACCGCCGATGTGCGTCTTCCCGGGTGCGGATGCCCCCCCCTGGGCTCTTCGCGCGCCTGCTGCGGTGCTCGCCTCGCTTCGCTGCTTGAGAGTTGCTGTCCTGGACTTTCTGGGTTTTGGCTCGGGAGGAGGAGGAGATGGAGGAGGAGGAGGAGGAGGAGGAGGAGGAGGAGGAGGAAGAGGAGGAGGAGGAGGAGGAGGACTTTGCCAACAGGCGGGCGCCTATTCTTCTGTTGCTACGCTTAGCCGCCCTCTTCAACCTTCTTTTGCCGCAGCGTCCGCCAGGTGTGCCAAGTCGGCCGTCAGATGCATTTCTCATACCTGAACGGTGCGTGCTAATTCACTAAATCCGATCAACGTCAGAAAACGAGGAGGAGGAATAGGAGAAAGAGGAGGAGGAGGAGGAGGAGGAGGAGGAGGAGGAGGAGGAGGAGGAGGAGGAGGAGGAAGAGGAGGAGTAGGAGGAGGAGGAGGAGGAGGAGGAGGAGGAGGAGGAGGAGGAGGACCAGTGTGAACCCAAGAGGCATCAACGATGTTGGAATAAACCCTCCCTCCAAGCTCCCTCTTCATAGGCCCCTACAGCTGTTTATTTCCATTGGGTGGGGTTCACTTCAGAAATCGTGGGGGGTAGGGATAGGGTTCGCATCTGGCCCCCTACCTGCAGAGACCCCACCAGACAGCGCTTGGCGGTCTCCCGCGCCGCAGCATGCCGGGGGGCACTGCAGCAGCTCCAGGGGTCCAGGCGGCAGCCGTCTCTGTCACCCGCGGGGGGCGCCGAGGGATCAGGGCACAGCAGCGGCTCTGTCGCCACAGCTCGTGGCGCGTATTTCGGCGATCGTGGAGGGGAACAGGCTGCACGAAGCAAATGCAGGAGAGAGGGGGGGAGTCACCACCCACCAAACCACCCCAACCCAACCCGAAGCCCTCAATTTGCCCTCCATTTCCAGTGGGGGGGGTCGAGGAACGTTGAAAAAACACATAGAACCCGTATCCCGCCCAACCCGAATTTGGGGTCAAATTCGGGTCTTCGGGTTGGGTTGGGGTGGACTGGTAATTAGGTAGTCAGGGAGGATAGAGGAGGAGGAGGAGGAGGAGGAGGAGGAGGAGGAGGAGGAGGAGGAGGAGGAGGAGGAGGGAGGAGGAGGAGGAGGGGAGGAGGAGAGAGGAGGAGGAGGAGGAGGAGAGGAGGAGGAGGAGGAGGCGGAGGAGGAGGAGGAAGAAATGAAGGGAGAAGAACATGACGAGGACGATGCAGTGAGGGCCACGAGCGAGGAGGGAGGAGGAGGAGGAGAGGAGGAAGGAGGAGGAGGAGGAGGAGGAGGAGGAGGAGGAGGAGGAGGAGGAGGAGGAGGAGGAGGAGGAGGAGGAGGAGGAGGAGAGGAGAGGAGGAGGAGGAGGAGGAGGAGGAGGAGGAGGAGGAGGGGGAGGGGGAGGGAGGGGGGAGGGGGAGGGGAGGAGGAGGAAAAGGAGGGGGAGGGGGAGGAGGAGGGGCAGGGGGGAGGAGGAGGAGGAGGAGGCCCGAGGAAGAAATGAAGGGAGAAGAACATGACGAGGACGATGCAGTGAGGGCAGAAGAGCAGGAGGAGGAGGAGGAGGAGGAGGAGGAGGAGGAGGAGGAGGAGGAGGAGGAGGAGGAGGGAGAGGGGAGGGGAGGGGAGGGGGGAGGGGGAGGGGAGGGGGAGGAAGGGGGGGGAGGGGAGGGGGAGGAGGAGGGGCAGGGGAGGAGAAGGAGGAGGATGCCTGTGGGGGACCATGGCGAAGGGGTGGATGCACGGAAGGCGATGCGGGTAAACAGGCTTTGTTCCCTATTCCTCCAGTGCAGGTAGGCAGGAGGGGGGGGTCTAGTGGGCGCGGGGGGTTCTTGGCATGCACGCCGGAGGGAGCGATCCGTGGCCGTCCTGGCTCGAGCACGAGCTCGGACAATCTCGCCTGAAGCGTCTAGCCCGTCGGTACCCCGCAGAGGGCCATGTCTCGTTCTCTCGTCGGCGCCGCCCTGGCGCTCTCCTGGCTGGCCCAGACGCCGCTGGCAGCTGGCAGCGCGAGCAGCGGGGGCTGGTACGAACAGAAGCCGACCTGCACAGGCTTCAACTCGCTGTGCGGCGACGGTTTTCATTGCACGGTCGACATGGGGGACTGCCGGGACGGACAGTGCTACACCATGATGGGCGCCCCCACAGCGTGCGCTCCGGCCGTGATGGGCTGCAACGAGATGGACCGTCAGTCGAGGGCCCCCAAACGGGGTGGTGACCACACCGTGTGGTGAGTCGGTGGGGATTCGGGGTCACCACGCGGTTTTGGGACTTGGGTCGTTCTCCGAGGTTGTCTCGGGCGACTGGAGCCTCCAGGGTCCCAAATGTGGTGACGGACCGTGCGGTGAGGTCTCTTGGGGTTCCGAGGTCACCGCACGGTCTGTCACCGCACGGTCTTGGGATCCCCAAGTCAGGGGGGCGCCAGGTAGCCTTCCCTGCAAGCCGATCCCTTCTGGAGACACTTTGTTTTATCCAGGAGACACTTTGTCTCCTCCAGGAGTGATGCTTCCTTCTCCCCTTCCTTTCCTGCTTCCTTCCCTTCACTTTGTTTCCTCCAGGAATGGGCTGGAATGATGCCTCCAGGAGACACTTTGTTTTTATCCCTTCCTTCCCTGCTTCCTCCAGGAGAGACTTTGTTTTATCCCCTGGCGACGGCGGGCGTGACCGGGGGGGAGGGGGGGAGGGGGCCGGTAACGCCACGACTCAGGCTGGCGCCGCCTGGGAGTGCCTCGTAATGGCTGATGCCCAGACGGCGCCGGCGCAACTCGTGACCTGACCAGGGGGAGGGGGGAGAGCGGGGAGGCGAGGCCTGTGCAGGGCGGGAGGGACCTGGAACGATTTAGAAATGTGCTCCAAACCTCCGCCCGCCGTCTGCCCGCGCCGTTCGGCGGAGGGGTCGCCAATGGCAGGGGGGGGTTGCTGCGGCCGCGCCCGAGGACACGAAGGCCGCCGAGGGAGGCTGCTGCCCCTTTGGCACGCTGTCCGCGGGGCCTGGCAGCTGCGTGGAGGCCAGCTGTGAGAGCAAGCTCCAGTACCACTGCGGCAGCGATGCTTCTGCGGCGCCCGCCTGCGCAGAGGACGGCGCGCAGCTGTCCACCTCGTTGCCACGCCTCGCCAGGGGTCCCGAGAGATGCCCGCAAGGGGCCGAGAGAGAGAGAGAGGGAGGGAGGGTCCGCGCCCGGGGTGGAAGAGTCGTTCCATGAGAGGTCTGGGTCTGTCTGTGGGCCGGGAGTGCGGCGGCGTCACCTCCGTCGCGCCCTCCTGCGCAGAGGACCACGGCTCGCCTCGTCGCCACACCTCAGCTCACCGAGGCCCGAGCCTCGCTGGCCCCCGTCCCCTCCGCCGCTCCGCCTGGCCAGGAGGGGTGCAGACAGCAGTCGTCGTGATCTCTTCGCAACCTCTTCACCTCACTCCCGGCTCCCTCTCTCAGTCCTGCTGATGTTACTTGAAACTTCACGTGTCCCCACCATCCCATCCAGAAACGATGCCCAGGCGAGTTAGGAGCCAGCAGTGGGAAAGAGAGAGAGGGGGTGGAATTGCCGTCAAACCGAAGCTTGTGGTCAGTCTGAGCAGACCCAGAAATTAATCAGACATTCTGGCGCGGATCTTTCGATGTGGGACCTTTTGGCAGCTTACTTGAGCCATCTTGGGGCTGTTGCTGGGGCCCTCTTTGGCCATATTGGAGCCGTCTTGATGCCTCAGACTCCCATCGGAAGGTCCGATGGGAGTCTGAGGCATGTACAAGAGAACGATAACTTGGAACAATGAACGAATAACTTGGAGACAATGTCGAGAGGCGCCACATCAAATGGACACGTGAGGACCAAGGCAGGCGAAATCACCTCGGACAGCCACTTGGGCACAGGATCGGGCAGGGCCAGATGCGGGGCCGACCGCTGCACAAGGCACTCGCGCGCGACCGTTCAAGGGGGTCTGGCAATGCCACGCAATTCCCAGAGCTCCTTGGTCACGAGATGGCGCAGACTCGGCCTCTGGAGTCGATCGAAACGGTGGTTTTGGCGATTTCGTGGGCCGTTTTCGTTTCGATTTCGTCTTGCAGCAAAGGCGGATTGAAGACAAAACGGGGAACAACGGAAACAACACGAAACGAAGAACACTGTTCGCGTCGATCCCTGCTCGGCCTCGTGCCTCCAAGGTCGCGTGCGTGCCATCGCTTGGGACCGAACACGAGGCGGCGGCGCGCCCTCGGGCCCCCCCCTTCGGCAGAGAATTTGAAAAGGCCGAGCGGGTGGCGAACAGAAATGGAAACGAACGCGAACAGATGTTCCTCCTCCTCCCCCTCCTCCTCCCTTTCCTCCTCCTCCTCCTCCTCCTCCTCTTCCTTCTCCTCTTCCTTTTCCTCCTCCTCCTCCTCTTCCTCCTCCTCCTCTTCCTCCTCCTCCTCCTCCTCCTCCTCCTCCGCCTCCTCCTCCTCCTCCTCCCCCTCCTCTTCCCCTTCTTCCTCCTTCTTCTCCCCCTCCTCCTCCTCCTCCTCCTTCTCCTCCTCTGGCCCGGCGTGGTGGTCGAGTTGACAGGAAGAGTCGGGGAAACGCAAACGGCGTGACCATGCTCTTTCGGAGGTCCGCGCGGCTTTCTTGGATCGGAACTGGGCCCCCCTTGCCTGGCGCGCGGGGCACCGCCAGGGGAACCCCGGCAGCAACAGTAAACATCCGAGCCAACCGCTGCCACCACTCACCAGTGACAGCATCGGCAAAGACGGCGGTATCAGTTCGTCTGGTGTCAATTCGGCTGGCGCCAATTCGTCCAGTGCCAATTCGTCTGGTGTCAAGTCGTCCAGTGTCAATTCGTCCGGTGTCAATTCGGCTGGTGCCAGTTCGTCTGGTGTCAAGTCGTCCAGTGTCAATTCGTCCGGTGTCAATTCGTCCTGTGTCACTTTGTCCGGCACCAATTCGCCTGGCGTCCAGTCGTCCGGTGTCAATTCGTCTTGTGTCAATTCGTCCGGTGTCAATTTGTCTGGTTTCAATTCGTCTGGTTTCAATCCGCTTGGTATGTCTGTAGAGCATCACAGAGCCGAGCAATCAAACACAGCTGCAGTAAGCGGAACGAAAACGGCCGAGCGAACGAGGACGACATGAGAGCGGACGAAACGAAAGAGTACGAAACGAACGTCGGACGAAACGAGAGAACACGAAGCGAACGAGGACGAAACGAACGGCGGACGAAATGAACGGCGGACTAAACGAAAGAGGACGAAACGAAAGAGGACGATTCGTAAGAGGGCGGAGTGAAAGAGGACGACACGAAGTAAGACGGAATGAAAACGGACGAAATGAACGTCAACCCCCGAAGGTGCGCCAGTGAGCTCGTCGACCCCCGCCCGCCCCCCTTCACCCTTCAACGGTATTTTGCACCCCAGGAAGGGGAAACGGGGAGGGGGACAACCAAATGTCTCAGACGCTCACCCACACGAGGTTTTGTAATGATTTTGGCCTCTCGGGGGCGTCCCCGGAGTCTTCATGGCCATTTGAAGCTGTCTTCTGGCCTCTTGGAGGCATGTCCGAGGCTATCTTGAACCATCATGGTCTACCTTGTACCATCTTGTAGGCTAGCGTGGGCTACCTGGGTCCAGGGCCCTCTTAGAGCAATCTTGGCCCAACAGCCTCCCAAGGATGCCCCCGAGATGCCAACATCTGTCAATCATCACATCTGAGGCTTGTCAGTGATTTTATCTTTGAGCGAAGGGTCAGAATCAGCGTTCCCCCGTCGAAAAGCTAAACATCGCCTCTTGGGGCCCTCTGGGGGCTCTTGGAGCTGTCTTGGAGCCGTCACCGATTCGTCTTGGACCCCTCTTGGGGTCCTCATGGGCCATATTGGAACCGTCTTGAGGTCTCAACTCCCCCGCCAAAAGCGAAAAGGCGAGAATGCAAGCACAATTGATTTCCCGTAGGTTTGGGAATGACTTTGGCCTCTCGGGGGCGTCCCAGGGGGGCTCCGTGGCCACTTGGAGCCGTCTTACGGCGGTCTTGGGGCTTGTGGGAGGCATGTTGGAGGCTACCTTTGAGCCAGGGTCTCCCGTGCTGCCATCTAGAAAGGGCAAGTTGGGCCATCTTAGGCCATCTTGGACGCTCTTGCCGCTCGCCCCCCCCCTCCTTCAGACCCAGGGAGAGGGTAGGGGAAGGGGTCAAGCTGCCCCCCGAAAGGCGCAAACCGTCTTGCTCACTCCCACCCGCCCTCCCAGCACATGTGCATCATCCGAGCCTGCGTTTCCGATGCCGCATTCTGATTCATGAGGTGGGGCGCCCGGGTATGACCCCGGTTTTACTGCAAAGTGTTTGCTGGTACCCCCGCCGCATATTTCAACGACCAGTGCAAAGTGATCGCCTGGTGCCCGCACGTGATCCAGATTTTGCTGCGATATGTTGCATGTTGTTTGACAGGGATGGTTTGGGGGGTGTCGTCGTGGTTCGGGGATTGTTTCCAGTCAAGCGGGGGAGGGTGTGCATATTATAAGTTAAGTGCAGACATGAACCCCTCCCTGGAGGGGAATAGTGGGAGTTAGGAGAATTGGCTCCCTGAGCTACCTACGCCCAGAGGACTGGTGGTAGGATTGTCTCGCACTCGCTCAGTTTCACTCACATTCAGAGTACTCCTGCCCAGACTCACTCACACTCTAGCCACTCATGCACAGACACACTCACACTCAGACCCCGTCTCGCGGGACCGGTCCTGTCATCATTGCTCATCTTTCGGCGCCCCCCAGGGGCCAGAGATGGCCTTGCATGGGGGCCGAGATGGAGGGAAACCGCTGGGGCAGTCACAGTCACTCCGCCAGATGTCTGGGGAGCGGAGGGGAGGAAGGGATGCAGGGCTGAGACTAGCGTTCGCAAAGAGGGACCCTCCAGAGGAGCCCACGGCACCAGCGGAGCTGGGCGCGAGCATCACCGGCACGGTGACCAGGTGCGCCAAGGGCAGCGCGGTGTGCTACGCACTCGACAGCCAGCCTTTGTCGGGGTCGTGGGAGTGGGTGTACAAGAAGAAGGACAGGCTGTACCTCGCGCGCGGCTGCGACTCGGACCCCGGCCCGGACCCCGCCCCCATCAGCGGCGCCGCGGGCAGCCACGGGCTGGTGGCGCTGCTGCTCCCGGGGCTGCTGCTGCCTGCCGCGGGGCTGCTCTCCGCCGCGTAGCGGCCAGGCGGTCTCGGCACGCGCCTCCTCGCGGGCCCACGCGGTCCGCTTTTGCTCTCTGCCGCCACCCGGCCCCGGCGAGGCGTGTGACAACGGGCGGATGTGCGCACGTTTTGTTGTTCGACGGCGCGGGCGTACGGCCCGTGGCGTTTGCGCGGTTACAGCAGCGCGCACCAGCGCACTGACAGCGCGGCAGCCCTCTTGGCGCTGCCTGCGTGGCGCGTCTGAGTGACAGGCATGATGACACCCTAGGCCCTAGGCCCGCGTTACAGAAGATGTCGCGGTGCGGGGGGGCTACAGTCCGTCGCTGGACCCTACGACGTCCGACGACGGCAGGACAGAACAAAAGTTGACGCCTCGCATAACTCTCCCCACCTGCCCCTCCAGAAACGATCGCTAGGGAAGGTGCCCTGATCAGGGAAGTTCAGGGGCATGCAGTGGAACAGACAGGGGAGTCAGGGGGCGTAGCTCTCCGAGGGTGACGCGGCGTTGCGCCGAGATTGGCGTGGGCGGCGTGCGAATGCACCCACGGCCGTAGGTGGAGCCCCTCGTACTGTGGGCATAAAACGAGCGATGGGGTGCGTCGGAGTGGCCAGGGAGGGGGGGGGATGGGACACGAGCCGTGCGAGGGGTGTGCCGAGATAGGCAGGTGGTGGCGCTCTCCCCGACAGGGAAGGGAAGATGGGTGTTGGAAGGGGAACCGCGCTAGACCACCTCCTCCCAGAGGGCTGGTGGGACTGCGCGCGAAGCACCCCTCCGCCAGGCGAGGGGGGGCGGTGAACCGCAGACGCCTGCGGCGAGTCACCGCCGCTCCTCCCGTTGCGGCAACGCGCGTGCAGTGAAGCCTCGATCGAGCGTTCGGCCATGTCAGGGGACTGCGGGTTCCCCCAGCCGCTGTTGGAGCTGCCGCTGGGGCAACACTTTTGGCCGTCTTGAGTGCCTGTGGTGGCTCTCTTGGTTCATCCTGGGGCTCTCCTGGGCCGTCTCTGGGCGCCCTTGGCCCGTTTGGAGCCCTGCAGTGCGTCTGGAGGTCCTCGTGGGCAGTCTGGGGGCTCCCTCGATGCCCTTGAGAGCTGTCTCGGGGCCCTCTTGGGGCTTTCATGGGGCCTCTTGAGCCATCTCGAGGCTCTCTTAGGCCGTCTTGGAGAAACTTGGAGGCCCCTTGTCCCGTTCTAGCGGCATCTTGAGCCTTTTTGGGGCTACCACTGGCCGTTGTGGCCAACCTTGAGGGCCATCAAGGTCATCTTGGCAGCGGGTTGGGCTGAAAGCCACCAGGAATTTTTGGAAGGGCCATCACGTGCTCAAGCGCGTACGGTCTGAAACTTTTGGATAGCGCGTCGCTCCGCTGTTTCTGGCCCACCACGCTTCGGCGCGAATCGTTATCCACTCCCCACTCCCAAGCGTCAGCGTCTCGTGCTTTTCCGAGCCTCCCGTCGCGCGGAGCGGGGCGACACGCGCTCTGCTTGCACGGCACAGCGTGTCGCCGTGGCCGCTGCCGCGACATGCTGTGCAAAAGTTCCCGACCGTACCACGCGAAACACCCCTCCGGCAGGCTGGCGATCGTTTTCCGATTCGAAGTGTTGCCGATCGGCGCGGGCCCTCGCACCCCTTCCCCCCCCCTCCCATGGAGCAGTTCTTGGCTGTTCTTGGCGCCTGTTTCAAGCAGGTGGAGTCTCTCTCCCATGGGGCGCACTGCTGTAAGCGGTCGCATGGAGCAGAGGTCTGGAGCTAGATCCCCTCCCTCCCCCCCCTTCCGCCCAATGTTGTCTCAGGAGGGGAAAAAACACACAGACACAATTAATCGTCGATTCCCAGGAAAATATGGGAAAATATGGGAAGTGGGGGGGAAGACAGAAACCCAGGAAATATGGGAAAATATGAGGAATCCTTTTATTTGTGTGTATTTGTTTGTGTGTCCAAGGCAGGGCCCCTTCATTGTCGAAGCGCCGAACAAGAAACGTTCACCTGCGGGGGCCGCGCCTCTGCTGGTTCTCGGCCCGGCCCGCCCTTTTGTTGTGGCGGGGCGGGCCCCATGGGCAGGCCGCGCCCCGCCCCGGAGGAGGTCCGAGGACCGCGCCGCCTCGCCGCTGCGCCGGCGAGGCGGCGCGATTTTGGAGCCCGGGCCTCTCATCTCCGACCCCTTGGTCTGTTTTGGGTGGGATGTTCATCGAGGGGTGGGCGACTGACCTTCCACGGAGCTTGCCCATCCCTGCCCTCCCCCTCCTCCTCCTCCTCCTCCTCCTCCTCCTCCTCCTCCTCCTTCCGTAGCCATTTTGGCTCAAGATGTTTGCAGCTGGGGGCTTCCGCGCCTCCGAGCCAACGTGGGATAGCTCTGTTTCCCGAGCCAGTTCAGGAAAGCTTTCCGTGCTGAAGGGTTCTCCTCTGCACGCGCCCTCACTGCACACTTCCGCGTCATGGGGCGCGCGCGGCCCTTCTCGTGGTGCAAGCAGTGTGGCGATTGGGCGTTCAACTTCCGCATCATCGCCAACGACGGCAAGTGCGCGAAGTGCAACATCGTCGTCGACCTCTTCAAGCGCAGCGGCCCGTCGTCCTCCCCCAAGAAGCCGCCTTGGGCCAAGGACGTGCCGCCGCCTGAGGACCCCGTTGTCCTGCTCCAGAAGCTCGCCTCCATCCCCGCCCTCGCGGGGGCCCACCAGGCGCTCGTGGACCTTGAGACCACGTGCGCCGCGTCCCTGGTCAAGCAGCGGACCCCGCAGCAGGATGCCAACTTCACAGCGCAGAATCTTCAGAAGAAGGAGGCCGCCCTACGGAGGGCAGCAGACGCCCAGGTCGCAGCTGAGGCGGCCCCCGAGAGAGCCAAGGACAACGTGCTGGTGGCCACCGGGGAGGCCATCGCGGCCCGCGAGGCCAACGACAAGGCGATCGCGGCCCTGTCCATCTCCGTCGGCAAGGCTCCAGCGCAGCCAGCCCCACCAGAGGGCTACACCGCCGACGGCAAGAAGATTCTGCTTGCAATCAAGGAGGCCGATGTCGCCGACAACCTCGAGGAGTTCGACGAGACCCAGCAGGAGACCCTCCGCAGCCTCAAGAAGGAGATGGACGCGCACGTCGCCCAGGTCCAGGCGCTGCAGGAGACTGTGGCCAACACCCTCAAGACGGTCCAGGAGATCCGCGCCGCCCCAGCCAAGCGGCTGCGCGGCGCCGACGGCGTCGGCCGCCAGGGCCCAGGCGCGGAGCAGGCAGCCCGCGACGCGGCCCCAGCGGCGGGCGCCTCAGCGGCTGCGCCTTCGGCTGGCAGCGCCGCAGCCCCCTCGGCCGACCCCGCTGAGGCCGCCGCGGCCCGCGAGACAGCCAAGACCCAGCTGGTCGAGGCGCTCGCGGCGGCCAAGGAGCGTGCTGAGCAGCGTGCCTCTGCTGCTGAAGATGCGGTGGCTCCTGCTAGCGGCCGCGGGCGCGGCAGCGGCGGCAGGGCCGCCGCAGCAGGCAAAGGCGCTGGCGGCAGAGGCGGGCGCGGGGTGGGCTCCTAGCCAGGACGCCCGCGTCTTCTTCGCCAGCATCTCCGAGTGGGGCCCGCGCTCGGAGAGTTTCATGACGGCCCAAAGCAGAGCAGTATGAGATGATTGGCTTCGCTGAGACTCACCTGCGGGGTGAGCGCCTGGAGAGGATGATCGTCAACATGTCCAAGGATGGTTGGAAGACAGCTGCCACACCTTCAGTCCCCACGGGCCGCTCTCAGTCGGGCACCACTGGAGGCGAGGCGATGTTGTGCAAGAAGACGCTCGCCACCACGTCGTTCGAGGGCTGGGGGCAGGCGCAGCTGTCCAAGTCGTCCAAGGACCCCTTCGTGGGGTTCTGCCCGGTGACGTGGCGCACCAAGGTCGGCAACCTCGTGGTGGTCGCCGCCTGCCTGCAGCCCAAGTTCGGATTTCGCGGCCCGCATAAACGGATGCCAATACGATTGGCGGCGTTTCTTCGACTCATTGCAGACCCATGGATAGTGCTTGGCGATTGGAACAACCTGCCCGAGGATTGGAAGAAGAACCAATGGCTAAAGCAGCTAGGAGGCTCGTTGCTGCTGCCGTCCAACGCCGGGACGACCTGCAACCTGGGCAGAGGCACGCTCATCGACTACGGCATCGTGCGGTCCGACCTGCGCGGCTCCCTCAAGCTTGGGGCTGTCTCCGAGGCGCCGTGGAAGACCCACGTCGGCCTCGCCTTGTCGATCTGCGGCGGCAAGGACAGCTGGTGGAGCCGCGTCATCCAGATGCCGCGTGGGCTCCCGACCGTGCCCCGCCCTCGGAAGACACCTGGCCCAAACAGTAAGCGGCAGCGTGCTCTCACTACTCGGTCGCAGCGTCGTGCCCAGCTCGACCACCGACTTCAGGAGGCCTACGACGAGCTCTACAACAACGACGACGATGAGGCGGTCGTCGCTCCCTCGGTCTGTTTCGCCATCCCACTCGACCTCTGGCATAGAGCCCGTGGCATCCAATTAGAAGTGGCCAGCAGCGCCACCGTGCATCCAGATGGCAGCCCAGTCCTTCAGCAGGGGCTTCGCGGTGCTGCACATCTTCCCACTCCAAACCCTTTTATCGGATTCCACATCGAACTCAGGCCTCAGTACTACGCTCGACGACTTCGACGTCGACCCCATGGACGAGATCGACGACTTCGTCAGCGACGCTGCAGCTGCTGGCACTATTGAGGGGAGCGCTAGGGATTCGACCCCCAGCGCTCCGCTCCTCATAGGACCAAGCCAGGCAGCTGCTACAGCTTCGGCGGCGGCCACGACGGCTACAGCAGGCTCCAGGACGGCAACAGCATCGGCTACGTCACCACTTGGCGCTCGTCCAACAGCAGTACAGCTCAAGTTGATGGACCATTTCCTCCTGGACAGGAATGAGAGCGTCAAGCAGCTGATCGCCAAGGCCTACCACGAGTGGATATCTGCGGTCGAGACAGCCACTGTCGAGCACCACGGCATCCCGCAGGACTTTCAGGCGCGGCATTGTGGTAGAGGACGTGGTTACATGATAGTC